CTTTTCCGGCCGGGTTCTTAGGAAGGGGGACGAACGCCCGCGGCCTTTTAATATATATAATAAACGCCTTTATAATAATTTCCCGGAGAAGGGGTACTCTTTATAGTTATAAGCGAAATATCCCTTCTTCCTATACAATTTATAATAAATAAACGATTTATCCTTATTTAATAAATAATTTATTTTACTAAAATAATCTTTTTTATATTTAGCTTCGCTATATCGGGCGTAAATATCTTCCTAGCGATAAAATTTTACTATATATCTGATTCCCTAATATTTAAAATACTATTGAACATTATTCAAAGTTTAGAATAATTCGTAAGGGTATATACTACTATCTTAGAGAAAGAAATTATTTTAAAGGAAGTTTGCTACCTATAAAATAATAATTTTTATTAAAAGTTTGCTTCTATTCTTTTCGTTCCTTCTTTTCTAAAGCTAAATTCTTATAACAGCTACCTCTTTATTCTTATCCCTCACTATATTTATTAATATCTTTAATATAGTATAACTATTAATACTATTCTAAAGTATATTTCGGACTAATACGCTTATAATACTTATAGTAATAAAAGCCTCCTTACTAAAGACTTCCGTAGCCTATATTTAATTTTACTAATATTAATCGTATATAGATTTATCGAAGATAATTATATAATTTCTAAACGTTAATATCCTAATAGCTGCTTTAATTATTAAATTTAATTTCTTCTAATTTAAAGTTATTACTACGGCCGTTTTCGTATCTTCGTTCGAGCGGTTTATAAATTCGGTAGTAATAATTGCTCCCTTAATAGTAAATTACCGTTCGAAATTAAAGGAGACGAACTTTTTAGTAGTAGTAGTAGGTAATTATTAAAAAGTAATACTAAATTTATTCGGAATAACTCTCGCTATAATATCGGCCTATTATTTCGGTACCTCCTAAATACCTTTTTTAATCTCCTCTAAAATATCCTTTTTTAAATTATTAAAATCCTTCTTAGTAATAAATTAATCAATTCCAACCTTATTAGCCTCGGGTTATATAAATCTATTTTTTCCGATATAAGCTTATACGAATTTGAGAAGTAATTTTCGAAGCTAATATCAATCCTCGGTCGAAACAATATTATAATCCGCAAATTTATTCACTCTAATAATAAACTTCTTTACTATTTTATTATCTTCCTCCGTTTTATCCGAAGTTTTCATAATAAATACGGCTTTAGGGTTGTTATATACGGAAATTTCTATAAGCGGGTTATAAATACTATTTTCGAGCCTACAAATACTACTATTTATAATTATTAATAATAACGATATAACGCCATCGCTGCGTTCGTTGTAGAATATTATAAAGGATGTAAATAACCCTCCTAAATCGATTGCCATTGTCAATTTTCGTTTTGGAGCACTCCTCGACCAGAAATCAGCGTTTCCGGTTTCGGCGTTTAATGTACGCGTTCGAACAGTTTCTTCATTATCTTATAAAGATTTACTACATTTTGAAATCTTCGGAACTTTATATAATAACTATATAATTTTATCCCCAATCTATTAAAACTTTAGCTTATATATTTTGAACCAATAAAACTTCAGCTACTAAATTAGGGGTTATTAAACTTCTTAAATAGGGCGTATAATTAGTGTTTAAAGAGGCTATCTATTAATACATTATCTTACTTACTTCTAAATATTTATAATAGCATCCCGGTCATTTTAACATTCGGTTTCTATTAAACCTTATCTTCGGAGAGAATATTTAGCCCGCTATTTAAGAAGTCGTCGTTATTAATATCCGGCTTATTACTATTATTATTATTCAAAAGATTGTAATCGGTATTACTCTAACGGTTATTATCTAGGCTATAACTAAATAACCTACTATTGTAGCTATCGTCCTCTTACTTCAAACTCTTATCTTATAACCATATAAGGGCCAAACATTCCAATTTCCAATTATTACTAGCCTTATTAAACTTCTAACAATTTCTAAGTAGAAATATTAATATCTTCACTATCAAAACGTTAACGGGGATTTAAGCGTTAAAATACCGGACTTCAAAATAGCGCACATTGAATTACCGGAATTTAAAATTAAAATACCGGAGCTTAAGGTAGTTCATAGGCAGCATCGAAAAACGCTTATAGAATCAGAGGACGTTAGGCACATCTCATACGGGCTTCGTTTAAGGAAGATAACAAAGTATTATTAGGAAGTCTTTTACTACTAATAAGGGTAGATAGTATATTGGAAGCTAATGCTTAGATTTATAATTATATCTTTTACTTTTGAGTCTTCTACTTTTAAATTTTATTCTAAATAGATAAAGGAAATATTAATTATTCAAAGTACTAGCTATACAACCAGCCAGTATTGCCCAAATCGTACCCACAACCTCCTGCGGCTCGGATTTTAACCCTCGGGGGCACTATTCACGCGTAAGTAGTAAATTAATACAATATACTAAATTTATAGTAAAATTTATACATTTTAAAGGATTTACCGTTAAATAAATGATATTAATTAACTAATTAACTAATAAAAAAGGAATAATACACTAAGAAATAAGATATTAACTTACCGTTTTATTGTAACAAATATCGCATATTACTATATAACTACTAGGATCTCCCTTACTAACAAAAACTTATATCAATTCAACTTTATTATATAACCGACACTTCCAAATTGCCTCCATCTTGTGTAACTAAATAACTGAATAACTAAAAGACTGAAAGACTAAAAGACTAAAAGACTAAACGACTAAATAATTAATAAAAATCATTAACCTCAAACGCTAGCTCCAATTACTCTCGTAATTATCATCCTAATCCACATCGATAACCTATTTCCGAGGGTCTATAATAATATTTCCAAACCCAAACCGCCGGCTAAATAACCGATACGTTTTACCCCGGGCATTAAAAGATGCTAATACGCGTATTTATAATAGCAATATTAGTAGTAAATAAGAAGAGGGGAGGGGGGAGAAAAGGAAATACAAAGAGGTAAACTAACCCGGTTTTAAACTATTCGTACAATATTTAATTTTAGTAGCAAATAACCACTCTAAACAGCAACGTTATTAATAAGTAAATAGTCAAGCCCAAACTGCTGTAGGATAATATTAGAATTAATGGATATCTAATATTAAATATTAAAGTTAATCTCAAATATAAAATATTAAATATATTAAAGAGGAGAGAGTTTGATAGTCGAGAGAAGCGGGGGGAGGCGAGGTTCTTATACCCCTCTAAGAGGGAGCCAATAGGTACTAGAAATTTCCGTCGGTCTAATTAATAATCAAATTTACAATAGGGTTAATAGTAAGTAAGTAGTATCGCGACTACTTTATTAGTATTAAAAGATAGAAGGTAGTAGAATGACTTAGAATAGCGGTCGTTAGTAGCTTCTATAATATACCCCGCAAACGAAGTAATACGCGGTTGAATGGATAACATAGACGGTCGCATAGTCGTTGAAAGGCTTTAAATTAATGGATACTAACAATTCTAAATAATTCCTAATATTAAGCACTGATTGCAGCGATAAAAGAGTATTAATATTAATAGTTGAAGGTAGTAGTAGGGGTAATAATTGAAAGTAGTAGACTTACCGGAGTAGCAGACAGCCGGGCACACAAACCACAGTCGCATACAAAACTACAAATGCGCAACTACTTAATAAGAATTTATTTACAACACAGTAATGACCGCATTTCAAGCTATATCGCTATAAAGAGCGGGATATATAATAAAATAATTATTCTATATATAAATTATCCATTTGCACGCTAATACACGCTTAGGATGTGTAGCTATGATACGTTGAAAGCGACTAAAATACGGATTTCTATCGCAGCGTACGGGCCTCGAATTTAGCAAATATCTCGAATTTCCTTTTTCGGACATAGGGCTCCGCAATTAATAGTATTTGGACCGCTATAGACAGAACCGCCGCTCCTTCCTCGCTTCGATGTGGGCCTATGGCACTACGACCTCTAGTGTAGATGATCTATGACACTTCTTGGACCCGACGACGAATCTTTGTGAAGGAATGGGCGTTTCAATAATACTCTAACAGACCTATTATATTATATTTAACCCTCTTTTTAAATTAATACCGTTACCGTTCTCTCGTAAGTACGGCCAAAGAGCCTCCCCCATCCTACAATAAACATTCTTACTGGCTAATCCGTCTCACTGCCCGGACCCCCATCCCTCTCGATAATAGTACTAACGATCCCCTAATTTCAAAACCCCTAAAAATATTTATAATAGTTCGGTACTACCTTTAAATCCGTACCAGCCGAATTCGCTAGTCTTAAATCGTTATAATCTAAATTAATCGTCCCCTATTCCAAAAATTTTTAGTGAGTAAAAAAGAATTTAATACCTAGGTTTTAAACGCATAAGTAAAATTGTATATAAATAGCCACGCTATTAGCAATTTAGAAGCGTAGTTCTATTACCTACTCTCTTACTTATCGCCCGCTATTAAGAAGCTACTTATTACTTTTACTGCTACGCTACAATCTCCCTAAGAGTTTATTAAAAAGTTTAAACTTATATATAGGGACCCTAATATAGCAAAAGGAATGAATTCAAAATTCTACCAACTTTATTAAAAGTTAGGCGAATTAATAATAATTTTCCTTACCTACTTTAAGGAACTACTTTATTGCGTTTGTACTAATTCTTAATTAAAAGTAGTTAAAACTAGGCAGCTTATTACTATTTTGAATAACGATTAGAAGTAACGATTTTTAGAAAGAATCGACGTATTTAAGTAGTATTCCTGATTATTAGACTACCTTTATAGTTTTAATAATAATACTTTCCTTATCTTATTAAGGTACCTAATTAAGGATAATACTAATCCTATAGATACTTCTATTAATATTTTTAATAATAAATTCCTCTATATTATCGCCGTCTTAAAAGTAAAAGAGTAAATAGAGGAAGGAAGGTAAATATATTAACTATAGTAATAGGTTATACTAGTTTAAGAAATGCCCTCGGATTTTCAAGATGAATATAGTCCGGTTATAACCCGGTAGGGGTTTAGACGGCTATAGTAACGACAATTTGGAGGAGGAGGAAAATTCGAACTAAGAGTCGCCCAATAATACTGAGAGTAAGGGAACGCCGCTGTGTTTAAAAGGAGGAACCTTTAATAACTTACTAAATATACTTTCTACTAATTAGAAATATAGTAAGACTACTATATAATACTCTTTACTACTTAATCGCTTTAGTAATATTTATTTATAATACAATTATAAGAAGGAATAAAAATTATATTTCGTAAGTATAAGGATTATTAAAGTTACTTCTAGCGAGAGGCGTAGCGAATCTACTGAATAATAATCATTAATTAGGTATAGATTTATTATACAGTAAGAAAGGTCTCCGGATAAGTAAAATTTAAAGCCCTAATTGAATTTTGGCTCATATATATTAGGAATAGTTTTGTAAGGGTGGGTACCCGTAAGGTCTACCGATTCGGGTAGTAAGTAGGTAGTTGTATAGCATTTATTTAGGAGTTTAAATGGAAATATTTTTCTTGTTTAGTATTATTATTCGTACTTATTTAGGTAGGTAATTTAATAGGGAGCGGTTATAGTAGATTTTAATTATTCTTCATATGTTTAGTAGAGTGCTTTCTAGTGCGGTAGGGTGAGCTTTCTAAGGGGGAGTAGGGGGGTAATATCTAAGATTAGCGCCCGAGGAATTAGTCTGGTTTTGCTAAGCCGGGTTCGTACTTTATTGATAGGGATACAAGCTTTCTAATTGGCTAATTTACGTATTTGCTTGGCCCGTACGCCCGATTATAAAACCTTCTTTTAACTATACCCTTCTAATATAGTCTTCCCTTACTCTTTTTATCAAATATAATATTTCAACCACATACGACTGCTCGCTGTACAATACTCTAGCAGACCCGTTATATTCGCTGTAGTAGTCCGTGCAAGGTACCTAATATAGGGGTTTAACTTTTGCTCCCAGCTTTTGCTCCCAACTATAGTAGTACTCGTAGATACCATACTAGTACTATACCGCTACGGTACGGTACCTCTATACTGTAACCAAACTGTTACGGGGCGCGAGCAAGTACTAAGGTAAGACTTTAATTATTGTACGAGGAACAGGAAGAGAATCCTGTGCGCGCACGAGAACTATGTACTCGTCAGGTCTACAAAATCGACCGTCTGACTAGTGGGCGAGCCACTAGTCAGGGACAGCGATTCGTACATGAACAGCGATTCGTACCGGATTCTTGTACCAAAACGGTATATAGTGTGCATGCATCGGATATTTAGCTCGGAGGGGTAGAATGGATCTAAACCATATGCATATGCAGGTAGACCCGCTAACCGGCTTAGCGCAGGCGACTTTGGTGCCAAGGGTTTTTCCTAGCCTATACAAGTCGCTCCCGCGGTACGAATCGCTGTTCATGTACGAATCGCTGTCCCTGACTAGTGGCTCGCCCACTAGTCAGACGGTCGATTTTGTAGACCTGACGAGTAGGGCACGCTGTGGATTCAGTACACGGACTACAGTACGTATATACGTGACTGCTATACTACACTCAGGCAGCTATACAACTAACTATACTAATATACTGTAGTACCCTCTATTTATATATAGGAATATAGTAGTAATGCCTGTAATACTACCCCCCTTTTGAAATAATACTCCCGTTCGGAAATCTAATATTATATTCATTATTAATAAAGCGGGGCTCACTCAGCCTTCCCGTAACTACACCCAATCAAATACCGGCAAAAGTTTTACTAAAGCAGAAAGTTGCTTAGCGTTTGCTAGTACCCTAACTCCCGTTTAGGGGTGGAATATTAGCTAAAATATTGTTAAATTTAACCCTTCCGCTATAAGAGTTATTATTACTGTGAGATCACCAACGAGATCAAGCGGTTGGATACGATTGATTGAGTATACTATGGAGAGAGAGAGAGAGGGAGACTGGCGGGGTCTGGAAGGCTAGATGTGATGCGGTCTAGGCAGGGCACAGAGTGGGGACTGGGCTGTGCCCAGTGAATGCCAGGAACCCACCAACAATAACCCTAAATAATCTATTTATATATTGCAAATTAGTTCGGAACGCTCTAATTATTATATATAGAGAACCTTAATAACCTTTACTATTACTAGCCACCTCTAAGGTACTATAGAGATACTTATGATATAATAGTTTACATAAGACGTCTATAGCTGCTATTAATATAAATCTAAATAGTTTATGTATTTAACTCCCTACTAATGATTTATATTTTATATAAATATTAAATATATACTGCTAATATGTCTTAAGTGCTTTTTATCTTCTAATCTTACTTATTCAAGAGAATAGTCTGAGTAACAGGAGAATAAGAGATATAAGACCGCTATAAGACGTAACATCGTCTTCCGGGTAGCCCGGTAGAATTTACTGAAGCGCAGCTGTTATTGAGGTCTAGAGCTGGATTACTCCAAGTTAAAACTCAATAATTTGGCGGCTTACTATAAATGCAAAGCTGGATTACTCTAAGTAAAAACTGAATAATTAGGCGGCCTACTATAAATATAAGGCTGGATTATTCTAAGTAAAAACTTAATAATTTGGTAGCCTACTATAAATGTAAGGCTGGATTACTCTAAGTAAAAACTGAATAATTAGGCGGCCTACAATAAATGTAAAACTGGATTATTCTAAATAAAAACTGAATAATTTGGTAGCCTATTATAAATGCAAGGCTGGATTACTCCAAGTAAAAACTCAACAATTTGGCGGCCTACTATAAATGTAAGGCTGGATTACTCTAAGTAAAAATTCAATATTTTAGCTGCCTACTATAAGTATAATATTGGATGTTAATTTATAGAGTTTTATATTAAAATAGTTTTCAGACACCGGTGCGATGCTGGATCCTCAGCTCAAGCAATGCCCGGTGTATATTGAAGCGTGCTTTGGATCTACATTACGTAAGCCAGTAGAATCCATATGCCAAGAAATGCCAAGACGGGAAGCACCGAAGGTTCTTGGCAACTCGAACTCGTACTTAGGGGTATAATACTAGCCAAAACATTACTAGATCGGACTCTTTCTACGAGACTTTCTATTATCTTGCCTATAAACTAGTAAATACCCCCAGAACGCTCCAATTAGCCTATATAGTTTACTTCCAACTACCCTACTATTACCCACCCCCCCCCCCGGGGTACTATAGGGACGCCCGTAGTATAGCGGTTTGTATAAAACGTCCGTAGCCGCTACGAGTGTAAGTTCTAGAGAGCTCTCGCATTCAACTCCTTGCTAGTGACTAGTTTTTCGTATAAATGCTTAAATATATACTACTAACGTTTCTCAAATCCTCCTTATCTTCTAATTTTATCCGTTATAGGTATCTATTATCCGGGGGAATAGGAGATAAAAAACCGCTATAAAACGTACTATCTTTCGGTACCGTTAACGGTTACTTTGAAAAAGGGTATACTATAAGGTATTCGATTAGGGTATACGGAATAAGTCGAGCTGAACTTCTTTCTTTTTTTTTTTTGTTTTCTTTTTTTTCTTTTTTTTTTTAAAGCCGGCAATGAGATTCAGCTACCTAAATTCCGAGTTAGAATAATCTGAATTATAATTAATAATAAGGGTATTATACTATTTTGAACGGATGGGGAGAGAAAGGCTAGGGGTAGTAGTAGTCTTCTTTTTACGAAGAAGCTTATTTTTAATAGGTAATACTATTTTAGTACTAACCTAAATTTTAATAGTAATAGTATATTAGCGTTTAATAGCGATTAAATTATAGTATTTTTCTTCTTCTTACAATATATTATTAATGCGTTGTTCGAATTGTTGATTATCGTCTTCGAAGATAATTAATATAATTGATAGGTAATGGTTAATAATTGATAAAAGTAATGAAAAAGTTAAATGCGAGAGGGAGAGAGGGAGAGGGAGACGGAGAGAGAGAGAAATAAGATATTACTTGATAATATAAGAAATAAAACAGAAAGAGTAATATAAATACTATTAAATATAAAGGAAAGTACACCTTAGAAAATCAGTTATAATTATATATATATTTATAAAGTAGAATATATACTACCTGAATAATATTTGTAAGTTAGTATTGGACCGGAAGTGGTAATGTTGGGTAGCCGGAATATTAGTATTTACATATATATTTAGGATTGGGAGCTTCTTTAGTACCCTTCTTACTTCATTAGTTGCTATTATAATAAATATATAGTTAGATATTATATATAGAGCATTCAAATTGAAAGGGGTATTAAATATAAAGCCTTGTAAAGTTTTAACTTTATTATATAATATATATATATATCTAGTTTGAAAATCCCTCTTTAAAATATCTAGTATAGCTATATTAAGAGTAGAACCTTATACTTTATAAATTATAATAATATATATAATAACCAAAGGAAATTGTAATCTCGTATATTGTATATTTCGGTAAAATCTAAATTCTCGCTTAATTTAAAAAATAGGGACAATATTATAGAAACGATCTTAATCTTCTTAGTTAGGGAAGTAAGAAGGCCTAGTATACTAATTAAATTTAATAAATATAATTAATATATTACTATAAGGATATTATTCGTTAATAATATTTTAGTTAGGAAGATTAGAATCCTATATAATATTAAAAATAGTACCTAAAGTACCGTTAATTAAATTAGTTTTAATTTAGAGGTTTTCAGTAAGTATAACCCTATTACCTATTACTAACGGGAATTCGAATTGTAGATTATTAATATTAGTATAATTTACGTTTTTAGTATTAAGGCCGGCGTATTTAGTAGGGAGGATAAAATAGGGTTGATTTAAAGTTTCTATATACTAAAAATTACAAATTATAATATTTTTATATTTAGAATAAATATATAAAGTATTAATAAATCTAGCTTACTCATTTAATAGTAGCTTTAATTGCGTTCGAAAATATAGTAATTCCTAATATTATTGAAAGGCTAATTACTTCGTAGTCCTTCGAACGCCGCCCTAAATCTAGCTTAATTATTACCCTATTATTGTACAATTTACTATAATTTAATAATCTTATTAAAAATATAACAATATATACGACTGATAGCCTTAATAGTAAATAAGATTTATTAATTATAAAATAATAGTTTCTATCTAACCGGGGGTGATTAATAAAGGTTACTAAGTAGAAAAATACTTCTACTACTAAATAATTGGTTGTAGGACTTAGGGAAAGCTTACCGTAGTCTTTAATTAACGAAGTTGAGAGTTCGAAGCCTTAATATAGATTTTCTATTAATAATAGAGTAACGATACGGCCGTAATTAGTATTGAAGTTAGGTTAGATTAATACCTTTTATTATTATAATAATTACCTCCGGATCGTTTTAATTAATATTCTTAGGAGTAATAGGTAGTTTGAATAAAAAATATAAGGTTTAGCTATTAATATTATTAGTTACTACCCCCGTTGGAGTAAATCTAATAATTAGTAAGGTTTTATTATATATTGCAACGATTTATTCGAATTTGAATAATAACACTTTAGCAAGAAAAGACTTTCCAATACCTTCGCGGCTATTAATTTATAGAAGTAAATGTAGAATATATAAACGCTATTGAACATTATCGTTATAGTTACGAATAGACTAATAATAACGAATAAATTGGTTAAATACAATTTTTTATTCTATATTGAGATTCTAGATAGCCTACGATACAAGAACGGGAATATCGGCTATTAATTATAGGTTATTAACTTTTATATTCTTCCAATAATCCTATTACAATTTTAATAAGTTTCAATAACCGAGATAGTTATACTAATTATATAAAACATCTTAATTATAGTAACTAAGTATACCAAAGTAACCGTTATCTTTAATTCGCTAATAATAAGGAAGATCTCTAGCTAAGACTTACTATAGCTCTCTCTACCTTTCCTATTTAGTAAAAGGTTCGAAATTATTATTAGGTTCACTATTGGGTATACTACTGTAGTAATTGTAAGGGTAATCTAAATTTGTAATATAGACTTCTATGCAAATTAAGTATATATTAGAATAAATCTCTAATTCTTCCTAAACTCTATTCCGGTTTATAATACTAAACAATTTAATATAAGTACAATAGGGATAATATAATATCAATTTAAAACGATACCAATCTTTATTCTAATTATTATTTTCGAATTTATAAATAGGGTAGTAGTTCAATACCCTCTTCTTGGCCCGGCCTCCAAGACGTCGATTATTAATAATATCGAACCGAGTGAGCTACTGAAAGTAATTAATATTTTCGAGGTTATTAGGGCGAAATGAATATTTAGTATACTAGGTACGAACCTAGATTTACTAGCTTTATTTAATGAGTATTCCCGGTCTAGGGAGTCTATTTGGTTTACAATAGTCTTTATCGACGATAATTCGGGTACTTTATTCTAAAGGTAAATCAAGTAATAAATGACTAATTTTTTAGGCAGACTAGTCTCGCTAAGTAATAAATTAATTCATTATCTTTATAGTAAACGAAACAACGTACTTATCGGAAGTAATATAGGGTATAATTTGTTAAACAATCTCTTTAAAAGGACTAGACTACTTTTCTACTTTTACATAGTACTTAGTAATATAGTTAACAATAGCGTTATAACTAATACAAAGTTATAAATCCGTATTTATAGGCTATTTAATAGTAACTATCCGATTATAATTATTCATACGATTATTATTTCTTTCCCCGTCGCATAATTAATATTTTAAATTAAAACTTTATATAAAATATAGATTGGGATAGTAATTTTTAGAAAGTAGAAACGGCAGATTTTAAGAATGCGATTATTAGGCTAAAGGGCACCCTAATTAAATCGTTTAATTCGAAGATAATAGTTATTAATATACCGGCTATGGCACTATATATAATTAACTATTCGGAATAAGAGATCGAAAGTGGGAAGGAATTCGCCTTTATTATTACTAATAATAACGGATAGAGGATCCCTTTTACTCTACTAACCAATTCTTTCTAGTTCTAGATTTATAGTAGTAATATAGTAACCCCAAAGTTCTATAAATTCCCGGCGAGTATTCTTATCGGCTAATTCGGGTACTTTGATATAAGGGACCTAATAAATACTATAGTTATAACTGCTTCCTCGTACCTAAACCTCAACAAAATACTACCAATCTTAAATCTTGAACTTTAAAAGTAAAATATATTATTCAAATAGTTTAACACGATTCTCGAGGTAGTATACGGTAATATAATGGTTTTTTTTAAAATTCTTCCTTACAATTCGTTTCTAGCCATCGGCCGAAGCAGCCTTCTACTTTTTATAGTTAAGTATTGTTAGGACGTAAGGGAAAGGTAGGTTAAAGTAACTACAGTCGCTGCTATACATAGAGGACATTAAGTTAGGGGTCAATTAAAAAATATATTAATAGCTATTAATTATAATAAAGGACGCCCGTTCGGACTACTTTTATATTCGTATAAACTCTATTCCAACGTAGCTAGTAGTTATAGAGCTTTTAATTAGCGTACCGCTATAATATAGCGCTGGAGCGTCCCCTTTATAACTTTATTTTATTAAATATTCTAATATTTTCGAATTCGAGGTTAGTAAGGCGAAGGGAGGTATTAGTCGTTCTAATACTCTTAAGTAAAAGTTTAGTAAAATAATAGAGAGCATTAGTATTATAGTATTATAATATTCTATCTTCAGCGGTCCTAAATCTCCTTTTGTACTTATTCTAGCCGGTTCCTAGTACTCGAAGCAGTAATCCTTTAATATCCTAATATAACCCTCCCCTTATAAATTCTATCCCTAGAATTTTTAATCCTTTATTCTAATTCTTAATATTAGCGCCTTCTCCCTTCGCAATACCCTTTTCTTTATTTCTTAAAGCTCCTACGCCCTCAATATACTTACGTTTCTTTATTATTCGCTAACCTCTCCGGATTATTAAATTTCCCCCCCCTAATTATTCCGCCTTTTTCTTTTCTCTGAATTTAATTTTATTATTGTACCTTCTATCCAAATTTTACTTCTATAATACTTAATACCTATTCCTAATTATATACCTTCTTTTTACTTCCTTCCTTCCTACTTTCTAACGTTTATAGGTATTATTTATTCGTTCTATCCTTCTCTTTCTACTATTTATACTTACCTCCCTTCCTTCTATTTATTCCTTTTTATTTCAATTTTCTATTACCTAAAACTTCTTTTACCCTATTTTATTTTATATTCGTTTACCCTAATTAATATTTATATAAGGACTTCTTTTATTATTTATATAATTTCCCCTTCCCCTTCCCTTCTTTACTCTTTTTTTTCCTTATAATTTTACTTTTATAATTATATTTACTACCTCCTCCCCTAAAGAGTTTATTAACTTCTCCCTCCTATTTAATTCTAAAATTGCTTTAATTATCCCCTCCCTTTTATTAGAACCGGCCCCCATTGCGGACGTACGTACCTTTATTACTATCCTACGTACGAATTACCGCTTCGCCCTCGAGTCCGATTAATACGTTTTTCCTTTTCTTTTATTTTTTATTTATTATACTATTCCGTCCTCCTTCGCTTTTTACTAATTTTTTATAGTAAAATCCACCTTCTAATTTATATAGGATATAGTATTATTGAAATTTAGGTGTTTATTAATATCGGCCCCTTTAATTTAAACGAAGCTATCCGTTTAATTATTTTATATATTTATTAGATTAAAGGTTAGTCCTTCCTCTTTACTATCTTTTATTTCCCTCTTCGTTAATATCCTTTAAAATTTATTAAGAAATTACTATATATTTTAGTATAGGGTAAATATATATTAGAAGTCCCTTATAAAGTACGTAACCTTTAAAATATTTCATAAGTTATAGCGGCTAAGGTTATAGCTCTTATTAATATTAGTACCCCCCTTGCTTATTATTATTTTATAATACTTATACTAATATATATCCTTTTTTAAAAATATAATATAAGTATATTTAATTACTAATAACCTTCCTACAATTTTATTTAGTATATTCCGCACTAATCATTTTAGTATTAAATAGTACTAAAGCTTCAGCTATTGTACTATTAGTAATACTAACGATAATAGTAGTTTAGTAATTATTAGTAGTAATCCTTTTAGTAATAATAGCAGCTCCCTAATAAGTTTTTAATATAGAATTCTCCTATTTAGGTTGCCCTCCCTATTAATTATAATTAGGGCCTATAGTACTATATTATCAATAAAACGTTAGAGGTTATAGATATAAAATTAAATAAATTATTAATATTTATTCAAAAGGATTATAAGGAATAAATAGTATAGGGTAGTATTAGTTAATAATATTAATAAATACGGTAGTATATAGGAATATTCCTCCTAAGGTTGTAAATTTTAATTTTATATCGATTATAGTTAGTACCGCCGAGGAATTTTTCGTTTAGAGGTAATAATAGAGAATATAAACTATATTCTTCCTAGCACCTTATTAATTTTCTACAATAATTCTAATTTACCTTCTCTTACTATTACTTTAGTATATTACCTTCCATTCTACTATCCCTCCTATATTTTCTTACGTTCTTTTCCTTTTAATGTTTAATTTACAATTATATTTTATATTTCTATTTTGCGTTTTATATTTATATTTTATATTTTCATTTTATATTTTACGTTTATATTTTGCATTTTATATTTTACATTTGCATTTTACGTTTTGCCTCTTCGTTTTGCGTCTTACGTTTGCGTTTAACTCTTCATATTTTCGTTTTATATTTTTAAGTACTAAGTATTTATTATTCTCCTACCTCTATTTAATTAATTTTTATTAATTTAGTATTCAACTTACCTTGGTCTCTCTACTATTATACTTCTTTACTTTATAATCTTTAAAAAGACCCGGGTAGTTTATATCGTCTTATAGAACCTATAAATGTTTATTATCTAAATACCCTTTCTATTTAATTTAAAATTAACGTTAGTAGCCGGACCTTCGATACTTTATAATTAATTTAACTTTATACTAAATATTATTTTCCTTAATATTTATAATTTCCTTTTATAGTATAGCCGTAGCGGGGTTACTATAATATAATTTTAATAGAATAATTAGGAATATTAAATAGATTTAGTATTACGCTAGGAGTATAAATCGGTATACCATCTTTTTATCCCTAATAGTTTTAGTAATTTAGAATAGTTCTAAATATTTATTAATTAATTTAATATTCGGGCGCCGTTATTTAATATACTTCGTATTAAGTAAGACCTAACTCCCTACATTAAATTCCTTCGGTTTTCGGGCTTTATTATACTATTTTACATATTTTTGGCTAATAATTCCTAAAATTTCGATAATTTCCGCTCGACTTCGAAGTAATTCTATAATTTAATCGGTGGCCATTATAGGGAGTACCGTCTTTCGTCCCCGATTTAGGTCTATAGGCCTCCGCGGATAGTATTTAAAGAGTAATTCTAATAAGGATTTCCTAATAATAGTATAAAAATAGTTATTATATATTTATTAGGTTAATATAAACTTTTCGGCCTAATTAATTTATTCTATCCAATAAAAAATTTAGAAATATAATTTTAAGTTCTAATTTTACCTCTCTATTTACCTATCTATTTAAAGGTACTAAATTATATTAAAATACTTATAAATATTTAAGAATTTGTAGTATATTTTTTAAAATTAATTAATAAAAAGACTACCTCTATCTAAAATAATAGAATTTAGGAGGCTAAATCATTGGAAGACGTTTTATTAAAAGAGGAAAGCGAATTGCCGAATATTGATCGTCTTTTAAGTAGGAATATATAAAGTATATTTAGTAAAATAGTTAATAATAATCAAAATTATATTATAAGTCCGGTTAAATATAAGGTTAAATATTTTTAGTAAGCCAGTAATAAAGTCGTACGAAATATTTTATTAGGGGACTATAAAAATAGATAGCGATTTTAGAAGGCTATAGGGTTAATAGTTATATAATTTAACTTTCTAATATACTGGGTATTTACAAATATAAGCCTCGACGTTAATTATAATAGTAAGTTAATAATAGAATTAATTAATTTACTTTAGTATTTTTCTTTAATCCGGGTACCCGGCTCTTATATTATTATAATAAGCGTAGAGCAATTCGGCTCTTATATATTCCGGAATATAAACTTAGTAGTAGTATTGTAGAGTCCTATCCTCCTCTATCTTCTAATTCTTTATTCGTTTCTATCCTTCTCCGTCCTTTCATAACTCCCTAATAACGAATAGGTCCTCCTTCTATACTTCTAATAATTATTACCTTATTAATAGTAAGTACCTATTATCTTTTATACCTTTATTATTATTATATATATATTTATTTTTCTTATAATTACCCCCTTCGTTTCCCTTTTTATATTAGCGGCAGTTTTATTTACGAACTTTACCTTCTTTATTAGTACCCCTTCTTTCCTATTTTTCCTTCTATTTTCGACCGTTTTTTCTATTCCTTATATAATTCGCTCTCCTCCCCTTTTAATTCCTAATTTACTTCCTTTTTAATACTATTTTATTACTATTCATATTCCTCTACTATTACCCTCTAGTTCTCCTTTCCGATTAAAATTACCCTTTTTATTAGTACTTTTATTACCCGGCTATCCTTTATTACCTATCCCTTTACTTTACCCCCTTCGATAATTCTAATTAATAGGTATTCGCCTCCTCTTTCCGGTTTTACCCCCTATAATTATAGCTTCTTCAATAGCCCATCTACTAGATTTAACTTCCTTAACTAATATTATATCCCGAAATTATATACTATTAATTTTAATATTTACTAATTCTATTTTACGTTCGCCTACTCCTTTTCCTAAAAGTATTATAAATAAAAATAATCTATAATTATTAAGAATAATCTATTTAAATATAATAAATATTATTTCTACACTTTTAATACCTCTATAATCGCTAATAATTCCCTATCTCCGACCCTATACCTTATTTTTTCTAGTAATTTCTTTTTCGAAAAGAATACAACCGAATACTATTTATTACTATATAACTATATAAGAACTATTCTAATTGTAAAATCCGACGTATCCGTTTTTATTTAAATCTTTAATACTAGATTGAAGTAATATAGTATTAGTACCTTTTAAAATAATTACTTTGATTCCGTAAATGCCCTTTCTACTTCCTCTATTAATTTAAATACCCTCCGTTTATTCCCTTTTAATAATTCCGTTAAAGGTATAATTACTTTTGGATATAATATTATAAAATATTTATAAAACCCTATAAATTTCAGGAATATTTGGATATTATAAATATTCGTTGGGGCTTCCTAATTTATAATTATTATAACTCTTTCTAAGTCTATCGAAATACCCTCCGGCGAAATAATATAGTCTAAGAACAATACCCTCTTCGTATAAAATTCACACTTATTTTGATTTATATAGAGGTCCTAATATTATAGTTATTAAAGGACTTTTTGAATATAATTACTATAGTCTTTTTCGTTTTTACTATAAATTAGGATATTATTAATGTAAATAATATATATAATATTTATTAACCCTACTGATGTATTATAAATATATATTTGAAATATCGCCGGTATATTTACTAACCCTATTAATATAATTAAAAATTTATAGTACTTATACTTTATATAGAACGCCGTCTTTTCTTCGTTTCTTTCCCGAATCCGAATTTTATAGTATATATCCTTTAATTTTAATTTTGTAAAGATCTTTACTAATAATAACCGGTTTAGGATTTCTTGAATAAGAGGTAGCGCTATTTAATTCTTTTTCATTATTTTATTAATGCTTTAAAATTAATATAAAGTTTTAATTTTCCGCCTTTTTTCGGGATAAAAATAATAGGGGCGCCCGCTAGGCTAATAGAGGGTAGAATTTACCCTTTTTAAAGTACTTCGGATAATTATTCTTATAATATTTCTAACTCTTTAATATTAAATATATAAATTAATCCCTAAGGCGCGGATTCTCTATCAATTAAATTAATACAATATCCTAAATAATTATATTAAAGTAAAAGTATTATTAAAGTTTTAAAAACCAATTGAAATTATTTATATTCTAATAGAATAGTCGGTTTAAAAATAATGGATTTACTTTCTAATTCTTCTAATAATTCTAGGGACTTCGGTAGCATTAATTTTAATAAAAGTATTAGTAGGGGATAAATACCGTCGAATATAATTCGGAAGACTTTTAATAAGGGGGTAGGGGTTTGTAGGGTATTGGATAATTCTAAAATAATAGGTAGGATTACGAACTCTATTACTAAGGAAGGGGGGATTTCGAATAGGATATTTATATACGTAAGAGGGCAAAAACCCTCTTTTAACTTTACTATTTCCTTAAGGTCTAATATAGGAATTAAATTTTACTTCGGCCCCGCTAAAATTATTATAATAGTATATACTTCCTTCGCTAATATTATATTTAATTTTAAATTGCTAGTTTTGATATAAAACCGGAATATCCGCTGCTATTAATTAATATTTAGGTTCTATTTATAAAATTAAGGGTAGCTGAAAATAATTCCTACAACCGGGGATATAATAACGGTAAAGATAATTTATTTTTATCCATTGAATATTATAAATATTTTATGTTTTAATAAAATAGGTAATTATACTATATATAGGAATAGATTAAAGGGAGAAATTAATAAAATAATAGGGTATAAAATCGATTTTTATATTCAATAGGAATAAATATTTATCAATTAGATTTAAGTCTATACCCAAATCTATTAACCTTCGAATATTTTACTAATTTCTATAAATCTTTATTAATAATATTATTTTTAAATATAATTACAATTTATTTATATTATCCTAGGCGGATACGGCCGCTATTTTAACCGTAATTAGTATAGCGTTTATATTATATAATAGAGCGTTCGTAGGAATAGGATAATTCTATTACTAATAGCCAACTTTATTATAATTAAAGTAAATTCGGTTTTAGTATATCGATACGAAATAATTAATTATATTATATTTATAGTAAGTATTCGGCGGCTTTAATTAAATATAATAACTATACGTATAACCTTTTTAATTATAGAGGGGGTAAATAAAATTAGAGTTTATTAGAAAAAATAAGAAGGGACAATAGGATAAATTAAGGGGATTAGTACTATAGGACGAAGGAGGGAAAGTATTTAATGAGGAGGTAGGGGTAAATTGAAATAAAGAAGACCGTTAGGTATATTCTAAAAATATTTAATTCTAATAATATAATATAAATAATTTAATACTTTCCAAGCCCTTTAACTATTCTATATACGCTATTCCTCTATTTATTATATTAATACCGGCTATTGAAAACACGTTTTATTTAAATAGAGAATATAGCCAATTAATTTATATAATAATTTAAATATATTCTAATTAATTATAAGAGAGGTTAAATTCTTTAATATAGTAGTAGTTATAGAAATTATAAATTATTTTAGAGGCACTTTACTATATATATTCGAATTTATTAAAAGCGGACCGTTCGATAGTTTAAGTATTACTATTATATTCTATTTTTAAAAGAGTACGAAGGTTATTCTAAGTTAGTATATTATAAATAGTATTATAACCGGGCTTATTCTAAAGGGCTAGTATATATTTAATTTAAACGTTTTTAAAATTATTTTTAATATAATTAACGGTAAATAAAAGTAAGGTGCGGGGATATTCGTAGAAGTATATATTAATATTATAAAAGTAATTTTATAGTTGAGAGAAGTTTTTGCCCGTAAATTTAATAATATTATATTGAGAATAATATTCGGTACGGGTAAGTAGATTTATAGGCGATAGGGGAATATTTATAATAATAATTATAAGAGGAGGGGTAATAGGGGAAAATATAATAGAAATACGGGCTTAATTATAGAAGAGGTAGTTTTAGTAATAGAAATTAGTAGGGATAGGGGGGTAGTTACTAATAGTATTTTATTCGGAGAGGCCTACGAAGGCGAATTAATCCTATTAAAATATTTATAATAGGAAGTAATTTAAGAGGAGTTTAATAGCGGCGAATTGGGATTCGAATAATTATTATTTATATATAAATTTATTAATTTCGGTAGGTTAAAGGTATTAGCGGAGAGCCCGGGGCGGCGTAAGGGGGTAATCTTTATTATTATCTTCTTTGATAAATTCTATAATAGGTTAGTACTACTATAATAAGGGCGGAGGAGGTTATATAATTTTAATAATAGTAATTAAAGGGATAATAGTACGAGAGGGGCGAGGGGTTATTTCGGCGGTTTAGGAAATAAACCGACCGCTATAAATATATATATATATATTAATAATATTAATTTAATTCCCGGAGGAAGAGCTATTAATTTATTAGGACGTAAAGGAAAAGTAAGTTAAAATAACTATAATCGCGGCTATATATAGAGGATATTAGATTAGGAATTAATTTAAAAATATATTAATAACTACCGATTATAGTAAAGGACGCCTCTTCGGACTATTTTTATATTCGTACAAACTCTATTCAAATATAGTTAATAGTTATAAAATTCTTAATTAGTATACTACTATAATATAGTGCCGGAGTATTCCCCTCGTAACACTATCTTGTTAAATATCCTAATACTCCCGAACTCGAGGTTAGTAAGGCGAAGGGAAGCATTAGTCGTCCTAATACTCCTAGGTAAAAGTTTAGTAAAACGATAGAGAGTATTAGTATTATAGCGTTATAGTATTCCATCCCCAACGGTCCCGAATCTCCTTCCGTACCTATATTGGCCGGTTCCCGGTGCCCGAGGCGGTAGTCCTTTAGTATTCTAATAAGTATATAACGAACAAGGCTTTCCTAATATATATCGGCCGCGCTAAACGTTATAAATATGATTAATATACCCAATACTTTAATATAAGTACGAAGTTTACAGCTTTTCCGTATTTAGTATAGTTGTATACCGCGTATCGTATTAGCAAATCGAACAATTGAATAAAGTAACCGTTAGGCTTCCGGAGCATTAAATTGAACCGCTTCCCTCAATACTTCAATACTAGCTAGACACTTATTATTTATACTATTACAATTAGACTATATGAAAAACTAGCTTTTTAAATTAGCCTATTAACGTATTATAATATTGAAGATAACGAAAGGAAACCGGTAGTATCGAATAAATCGCCTATTATACTATTTAAATATATACTAAATATAATTATTATATTTAATCGAACGGATTCAAGGTTTAATAAAGTCGGTTTGCCCTCGGGAATAGAGTATTAAAAATACTTATAATAGGATAAATTAAATTCTATCCTAATTTCTTATAGCGGTATTATATAAGGGACCGGGTTTAATATAAATTTGAATTGGAGGATACTGCCCAAAAGCGGGTTGGACTAGTATATTAGCTGGATTTTGAATATTAGCCGGAATAGGCTATCCCCCTAATATTTAATAAAATTATTCTATATCTATTTAGTTAGCTATAAAGTTGGGAAGGGCAGCAACTTCTAGTTTAAAAGCATTTTCCCTCATATTCTCTATTCTTATTATCGCCGTCCAAATTGAGATCCTTATCATCGGGAAATCATCGGAGTTAATATCATAAATAATCAAATCATTATATACATTACTATTAGGAAGCTATTCAAACTTATTAAAGCGGCCCTCAATAATCTTGATATTTCGATATCCAAGGTAATTTCCCCTAAGGAAATAGAGCTAGGTACGAATATTATTAACGTTAACGATTATAGCCTATCTAATTCGTCGGGCGGTACGGGGTTTATCCTTAGGTCTACAAAGCCGAAGGATTATAATATCGAAGTCGCAGGGAAATAGGGGTAGCTAGTAATAAATATAGCTAATATCCTATAAAAAGTTAATAATATAGCCTAAATATTTATATCAGGATCCTTTAATAACCTAGATATTAATAAATATATATACCCGGGTAATAAATTATTCCTCGATTTGGTTAAGCTCTAGCAATTCGGTAGGAATATTCCCGAAGTCTAAATAGTTATCCGTATTAAAATAATAAGAATTACTAAATACTCTTCTATTATTATAAATATAATACTACCGGTAATAACTATTAACTATATATATTTTAAACTACTACTTGTTATACTATAGGTAATACTCTATAACGTCCTATCTTTAAACTTCTTCGAATACCTTAACTATATTAAAGTCGATATTAGGAATAGCTTTGGCTAGGAGGTCTTAAAGTCCTTAATATAGCGGGTCCCGTTCAAATTCGATACCGGTAAATTTAGAAAATTATCGAGGTAGTAATAGAAATGGTAGTACAAATTATTCAAAGTCGGGATAAACATCTTATTAAATAAGACCACAATATACTTAATATTATATTAAAAAATAGGGTAGTAGCGGTCTATAATTATCAAAAGGTAGAGAAGGATTATAATAATACAAATTACAATATTCCTTCTCTTTATTATTATTAATATCGAAGAATAACCCCCGTGTAAATACCCTTCAATAATATATATAGAATTTATTCTCGAAGTCGATATTACTATATAGTATACCTAGCTGGTAATATCTATAAAAGTTAGATTCAATATACCTATCTACTATAGCCTAGGTAATATTATATGGTCGGTAAAAGAAATAGTTATTCTCTAGGTTTGAGTTTGAGTCTAGATTTGAATTTGGGTTAGGGTTTTAACCAACGTTAGGATCGTAGTTCTCTATATTATCCTCATTTATATTATTATTTAAATTATTATTCCTATTATAAATACTAGTGTTGTACCTTCTTTAACTTTCGAGGGAAGGGCTAATTAAAATTTATTAATTATTACAATAACGATAGTAATAATTATACCGAATTTGGTTAATCTAGCGGCGGGCTATAATAATATTAGGAGAGTCCTATATAAAGTATGATGAGCTATATTTATAATTTAAGGTATTTATTATCTTAAATATATTTGTAAATTGTTGCCTACAGGAAAGAAAGGGGTAATTAAACGTATAATACAATTTCAATCTTAAAGCTATCTATTGATATTAGTAATTCTTTAAAATTATTATACTAATTAAGCCGGTGCCGGGGCTAGTACTAGGGCTGATACTAAGGGTTTTTAGTACAGTATTAGTATAAGGGGTACTATAAGGGGAAGTATAGGTAGTACAATAAGTAATACTATAGGTAGAAATAGCTATAGTACCCGCTCTAACAATTTATCGAATTCTTCTTTACGGGTATCTATCCGACTAAGTTGGTACTGTTGGTTTAGAATTAGAGCAATAACTTAACGGGGCTAAGGGTATAATTAAAGTAGTCGAAGTAATAAATGTCTTAGTAAAGAAGGGCCTCGAGGCTAAAGTTAAAATTGAGGCTGAATTTGAAATTAAAGTCTTGGAGCGGGCCGTAGTATCCTGGAAGGAGATTGTTCGGCGGCATCTCTTTTATACTATATAGTCTATTAATAATATTAGTTATTTGGAGTAAACTAACCGATACTATTTAAGTCGTATCTATAACCCTCCGCGGTTCGGATTATAGTATTACCTATTACTAAATATCCTATTCACCCATAGATAGTAAGATAATACAATATACTAGGTTTATAGTAGGATTTACGTACTTTAAAGGATTCATTATTAAATAAATAGCACCGGTTAATTAGTAAAGGGAATATTGGATAGGGATAGAGGGGGATTCGACAGAGGTATATACTTACCTCTATTTATTTATTGCAGTATTCTCTACAATTCTGCACGAATTTAGTGGGATTTCGCTTATTAGCAAACTCGATATCGGGTTTATATTAATAATACGTTTTATAATATCTAGTACGTATATTTATAATAATAATAAAAGGAAAGATATACAAGCCCCTAAAATAAATAGATAGAAACTAACGAAAAGGAAACCCCTAGAGAAAAGGAAACCCCTAGAGAAAAGGAAACCCCTAGAGAAAAGGAAATCCCCCACACCTGCGATGATGTGTCAGTAATAGTAAGCAGATGGATGGGAAGGAGAGAATTGACTTAATAAACGGGATCTGGAAAGTGGGATCCACATCCACTATCGAATTCAAGGCAATACCCAGTCCTGGATTTTCGTTAACTTTCTTTATAGGGTAGAGTTTTGGGTTGTTAATTAGTAGGACGGTAATAGCGATAATAATAATTATTCGCGTACCCAGTTCTTTTTAAGGTAATTAACAATGTTACAATTGATATACTATACGTAGCGTTATCGTTGGATATTAGGGAAGGTCTGGTCGATTGTACTAGTAAGCTGGGTATTACTATCGGTAATAGCTACTACTGGGTAAGGGATTTCAAGGTTATTGGCCGCTTCCCTAATATACTTTATTAAGAAACCAAACCCCTCGTCTCTCTCGTTATTTAAAAGCGCTTGAAAGACTAGCAATAAAGTCTTTTCTAGGGTAAGAACCACGCCCTAAATAAGAGGAAGGTTATATCGGTTGGTCTTATACATTATATTAATCAAAAGAATATATAGAAACCTAAATTATATTCGATGCTACCGGTTAGTAACCTAGAAGGTATAGTATAGTATATTTTTATCCCTTTCGAAGGTCTTATATTTAAATGTAATATTCGACTTTTTCTATAATTTTTAAATAAACGTTTAGGTATTGTTATATCCCTCTCGAAGGTTATAACGGGCAATTTAGTATATATTATCGAAATTACTATAAGTCTAGGGTATTTTAGGATACTTATCTTTTATAGTAGTAAAGATAGTTAGTATTGTAAGGTTGTACTGCAATAGGAGGTTACCCAAAAAAATATTTACTCTAGGGTTAACCTCGTAATCCCAAACTATAGTATAAAATATAAAGTAGCCTTCTAACGTATATAATAGGGGATAACCAAGGTATATTAAATCTATTGCCCGGGCAATCCACTTCTACCCTATCTTCTTTTTAATTTGTAGTACGATTCTAAAGGGATAGTAGCGCGCCTTCTTTCGTAATATAGACCTCCTCTTTGAATTTTAGTTCTATACTAGTAGTAAATAGTAACTAGCGTGGTCGCAAAGAAAGATAGTCTTAATAATAGAACCGTCTTCTTCATAGCCCGGCTTCTTAAGTTTGTAACTACGCTAAATTATAATACTAAAGCGATAGCGACGATAAAAATTAATAAAGTATATAAATAGTTTATTGTAGTCTTCAATTAAGTCGAGGGAGAAGAAGGGATTATTTACTAGTACGGTCTAAGTAATATCGGATTCGAAGGAAGCGTTAGAAGCGAAGGTACTAATTGAAGAGTCCGACGCGCGATGGCGAGGGCGTTAGGGGGCCGACGTACGAGGGCGCTTATTGGAGGAAGGCATCTACAGCAATCAATCAATATAAAAATCAATTAAATATAACAACTTTACGTACGCTGAAGGTATTATTAATAGGTATAGAGTACTAGTATAAATATATATAAATTACTAGAGTACTAGCGCTAATTGGTGGTGTAACTGTATACAAAGTACTGGTGCAAATGGCCGTGTGAAAAAGAGTGAAAGAAATGACTAAGTTAGAGGGGATATTGCGTATATTGAAAAGACGAAATTTTGCGGGTAAAAACGGGATTTACAATGTCAAGTATCATCAGCTGAACCGCCCCATTTTCCTTGTAGAGGTGGATACATGTAAGTTTTTGGGGGGTGTGGGGAGGTTAACTCAAAAAAAAGGATACGGAGTTTATAGGAAGCCGAAACGAAGTAAGTCTTATTGGCAACGATCTTACGAAAGGTATTAGGACTAATAAATTTCTAATTAGATTTTAAGACTGTGGCGAAATTTAAAGTATAATGGAAGTAAGGGATTTTATAAATGATACTATACGAATTAATATAAAGATTTAGAACGATCGAAGGGATATAGATACTAATTTTAGGGGATTTAGAGGTCCGGATTATTATTAAAAATATAAAAAACTATTACGGGCTCTAGGTAAATTAGAATTATAAAATTAAGAGAAATTGTAGAGCCTAAAGACGCTTCCGGGGAGGAGACTTTAAAGTCGGAGGTAAAGTCGATCGGATTAGGACGGTTACAATTAGAGGAAACTATTTTAGAGGATACTATAATAGGGAAGAAGGAGAGTGAGGAAATTAAAAAGGGGTACCGTAGGAAGGATTATATAATTAGAAGAAAAAGCCTATATATCATTATAAATAAAGGTGGAATTGAGGGGTAGGAAGTAAAGAGACGGAGTGGAGGTAAATATAAATAAGGGACGAAGCGGAGGAATAGGAATATGAATAGGAAAATAGGATAGAGAAGCGGGAGGAAGGTAGGGGAGGAAGTAATAAGGGTTGTAACGGAAAAACAGTAAGGGAAAGCGGCGTCCTTAACTTTAGTCCTATTATTCTTATTATTCTAATATTAAAATAATAAAATAAAGGAAGAAACAAAATTAGTTCGCTCTAGCAGTGGGTGAGAACTATTATAGCTATAGGTAAAGGAGGAATAGTATAGGCAAACTACAATTGAAATAGAGCTAGGGGTTTTCATCCGGCGGCGCTTAACGCCGTACGGTTTTCCCCTCCAGAGAACCGGAGAAGGACCCCATACCAATAAGGCGCTATAGCTATATAGTAAGGGTAAAAGAATATTATTATTATTATTGTTCTACCTAGTTAATATCCAGATATTCGTTAATAATTAAGGTAATTTCGCTAGGATATTGCTCGACCTTAGTAGTATACTTTTTACTTATAGCCTTTATACGGCTAATGTGGATGCGGTAATTAGGGTTATGTTCAGGTAGGCGATAGTGGCATTTACCGTTCTCTCTATAGTAGTAAAAGTAAATGAAATTTGATAGAAATATAATTTTACTATTGCTTTCCGAATTGCTAATAAAATGTGTATATTCGCTAGAAGTACTTCGAACCAATGATAATTAGTAAAGCGTATAATATAATTCTATTAGATTGTTAATAAAATATGCTATACCCCTATATATTATTATTATAGCGGTATCCGAGTTGAGGAAGGCTTAGAAAAGGGAATATAAGTCTATAAAATATAGGGGTCCTAGGACTATCAATAGGTCTCCATCTTCTTAGTTACTATATTATTCTTATTACTATTACTATTATTATTTTTTACAATTGGCCGATTTAGTCCTTATTTTTAAAATCTATAATAGAATTTCGGCTATATATATATTTAATAGTAGTAACTGTCGGATAGTACAATTTTTTAATATCTCCAACTATTTTAATAGGCGTTAAATATCAATTATAAATCTCCCGTCTTAACTACGTAAAATACTTAGAATTTCTACCTATACCTTATACTACTTCTGTGAGCGCTTATTAATAATAATATATAAGTTGATAGCGAAATAAAAATACAATAAAAATTCGTATTAATTATAGTAATAATAGATCAATTCTAATATATTAGAAATAAGGTTACGGGTTACTGTACTTCAAGAAAATTCTAATTCTTATTCGATTTATTTAACTTATTTATTTATAGAGTTTTTTTCGAATATAATTATCACCGGTTCTTATATTTCTCGATCGAATTCGCGCTTATTATATTTGAGATTAAATTATAGCTATTCTTCGTCGAACCCAATAGAAAGAATATTATCGGCATTTATTAGATCTTTTAATCTATATTAGATATTTGTAATATCTATACCTTCAAAAATATCATCTTAATTAATAATACCTTAGTTAATTATTAGTATTGTATTTTATTCAAATAATCAGACCCAACTCACCCTCACCGTTACCCTTATTATTAATATCCTCCTAATTACTATTATTATTATCGTATACTACGCTTATATTAAATATAATTGTATTATTGTTTCTATCGATTAGCGGAGTAAAATTTAATAAATTTAGTTTTGAACGCTAAGGTTGACTATTAGTAGGTTGATATAGGTAGATCCTGGGTAGGGGTATACATTTACTATAACGAATCCTAAGTAGTAGTAGTCTATTGATAATACAATTTATTTATAAGGGGGGGTTATTGTGTTTGTTTGCTTTAATCCTCCGACTAAGTATAGTAGGGTTGTTACCTAGGTAGTTTTGAGATATACAACTAAATATAGAAGTTGAAGATAATGAGAATCAAAATATAAAAGTTAGATTTAAAGGGGAGAGTTAAATTTATTAAATAAAATTCTATAAGGTTGCTTACGAGTTTAATGAAGGTATATTCTAGAAATTAAAACCCTATTCTACTTTATTATCATAGATAGGTATTTATTCAATACAATATAATATATAAATTGTATACTATAGTAAATAATTGGTCGTATGCCGTTTAGTATATTAAAGTCTAAATAAACCCTTTCCTATATTAAGCGACCCGACCCTTATTAATCCCTTACTAAAATAGGGTACTTTATATTCACTATTTAAATAAATCCCTCTAGTTAACGGCCTTCTAAACTTACCCTATACCGACCGTAAATCAATATTAAGCTTTCATTACTATATTTACTTATAGTTATTATTATTAATGGTACCCTGCTATTTTATTTAGTTTTTTGAAATTATTCACGAATAGAAAAAGTATTAAAATAGTACCGCTATTGATAATACTCTACCGTTTAATTATATAATACTATTTACTAGCCGATTGCGGTGGGTAAAATGTAGTTATTTGTGTAGCGCCCCGCGGTCTAGCTGAATTCTGGTATATTTACGCCGGTCAAAATAAATTGGTAGGTAATTATTAAGTAAATAGAGGAATAGTTACTTATTAAAAAGTTTAATACCCTACTATATTATTTCAATTTTCCAATAAACTAGAAGGCAGTAGAACTATTATAATTATATCCACTAGCCGCTATATTATTCCGTTTTGATAATCCTAAAGTACTGTGTAGTTTGGACTAGTAATTAGGTAAATACAAATCTCGACCCGCCTTCTCCCCTCCTCAACTTCCTCCTCTCCTTAATTTCCTCCTTCTCTAACTTTCTTCCCCTTCGATTCCGTTAACTAATAAATTGAACCGGTACTCGTATTTTGAATAAGATTAACTAGCTTACGATTATTACTACTAAGTCTACTTCCTACTTTATAAGTTATTTTAGACTACAATTATTGTAAATATTACCCTAGTCTAACTAACTATATATATAATTATAACTAATAATCATTTAAATAGAAGGTTTAAGCTTTATAAAAACGAAACGGAAACCTACTTCTTTAATAAGGAGGATTATTAGCTTTGAGGGTTATTAAAATAATACCTGTAATAACTTTTATAAGGATGAATATTTCGACTATAAATATAAGTAATATATAGAATAGCCTATTGATAATATATTTATATTGCTTTCTAATATAAGCTATACTTAGCCTATATAAGTATTTAATTATACGTAAGTGCCTAATTATACCCAATAGCGTTTGGATACTACTAGTACTTATAAATAGGCTTTTAAAGTATAAAAATAAGTAAACTTATTATTCATACTCCTATTAGTATATAATATTCATATTTATAATAGAGTTAGCGCTATACTAATCTACTAATTAAATTGAACCTTCGTATTGTAGTTAAAAAGATTCTAAAAAAGAATTACGCTAAATTAAGTACAACTACTTTAATCGACCCCTTAATTAAAGATTCTTAGGAGATAAATTATTAAGCGCTCTGTTAACTACCCCGTTAATCTATTCCTACCCTTGATATAATATTATATAGCCGTTACAAATAATGATATTAGTAATAATATACGGGCTAAAATATTATACTTCGCTTAGACTTTCCATAAGACCTATTAAACTTCTTATTTAATAGTAAGGATAGTAATATATTAAATTACTATAGTACTAACTTATAGAAATACCAAATTTAATTACTAAACCGCTAGCTATTTCCTCCCCGGTATCCCTAATAATAACCTCCTATTAGTTATAGTTCCGGTAAAGGCTAATTTCCCCCCCCTCCTAATTAAGGCTAATTCCCCCCTCCGCTTCCTAATTGTCATCGTAGCCAGTTTCCCCCACCTTCTGGTTATAGTTGTGGCTAATTTCCCCCTCCTCCTAGTCAAAGCCAATTTCCCTCCTAATAGCTATTTTCCTTTTATGATTAATAAAATTAATAGGATTAGTAAGTCTAATAAAATTAATAAAGCCAGCCAACCCTACAATAATAAAGCAAAAAGAAAATTATACCCCCTTAGAAAAGGAAGTAACCCTCGTCTTAATAAATACGTAATAACTGGAATATAATTATTAGAAGCGAATTCGGTACATTATATCTTATGTCTATCAAAAAATTAATAAGTAAATTCGTTAATAAGAGGAAAAGGTTTGCTAAAAAGCTGTGCGTATTCGCTTAGCTAACGAAGCCGAGTAACGTCGCCTCCAAGCCGAATAATATTACTAAAATACTGAGCGTACCCGTTTAATTAACAAAACCGAGTAACGTCGCTAAGCTGAGTAATATCGCCTTTAAACCGAGAAAGAAAAAGCCCGACTAAACGAAGAAGATTATCTTAGTAAATTATTCGGAAAGGTTAAAAATAAGGCAAAATAAAAGAAGTATAAAGAAGCGTAGAAGAAAGTTAAATAGGATAAGGGTAAATTAATTGACCTTAATAATAAGTTGGACGAATTCTTTAATTTAAATAAATTTTCTAATCTAAACAAAGAATAAAAAATAGGAGAGCGTTTAACTAAAAGGATTCGTACTTTATAAAAGAGTAAGAATAAAAATAAAAGAGTACTACTCCTACTATTATTCTTTAATAAACCTAAACTAAAACCTAA